ATCACCATCATCATCACCACCACCACCACCATCATCATCATCATCATCATCATCAGCATCCCCATCACCGTCACCATCATCATCAACATCATCATCATCAACATCATCACAATCACCATCATCAAAAGCAATATCATCACCATCCTCATCATCATCATCATCATCATCAGCAGCAGCAGCAGCATCATAATGATCAGCATCACCATCATCATCGCTTCTATCACTCCCATCATCCTCATAATCCTCAATATCCTCATCACGGCTCTCCCTAAGCTGGAGGCACGAGATGTCACACGCGATGGCCTCCCGTGCGTGCCCCCTCGAGCAGTCGCCACCCGGAACAACCGTGCCGGCACGGTGGCGGGACTCGCGGCAGGCAGCTGGCCGGATGTAGACCCATCGTTCTGAAGAAGTGGGTAGAAACATGAAGTAGGAAGGCGTTGGAAATACAATCGGACTCGATTGGACAGGACACGCGAGAGGACACAACTGCAGGAATGTAGGAAGCATTGGTCGCGAGACACAGGACACAAGAGTACCCTTGATTTGGTAGGGTCGACCTACTAATCTGGGCCGACTGTAGATTGGGTTCCACCCGCACCCTGAGGAGGACGGGAAAAAGGTGAAGCCACTCGATCACTGAAGCAGGTAGGCGCTTAAAGCAGACTGGAATCTGGGAATCCACGAATACATACTTTCAACGACCGATGGGCAATGGGTACTCTGTGTCCCTCAATAGTTTTGGGGCCTCGGACTACAGGTACCCCCCGGACTACAAGTACCCCTCCCCCCGGGCTACAGGTACCCCCCCCCGGACTACAGGTACCCCCCCCTGGACTACAGGTACCCCCCCCCGGACTACAAGTACCCCCCCCCGGACTACAGGTACCCCCCCCCCGGACTACAGGTACCCCCCCCGAAACCACAACCCCCCCCGCGTTCGCTACGTAGTCTCTGGAAGCCAAAGCGGCCCGCCAAGATGCGTCCGCACATTTTCACTTAGGCGTGCTAAGAAATTCGCCATCGTTGGGCCAGCGGTCGGGGCTGAGCACTCTCGACGGACGAATGGGCACGGAAACGAGAAGATAACGAGGAACGGAACGATATATCTACAAAGAATCAGAAAAATAAGCAGGGGACCGGACGAACAAAGAGAGAGAGAGAGAGAGATAGGAAGAGAAACACAACAGACACATAATGATTGTCGGAATGACGGGAAGAGAGAAAAGGAAGGAGCGTAAGTAGGGAAAACGATGGCGGGGGGCCGTGAGGTCCCGCACGCGTAAGTACTAAACACCCGCGTGCGTGGAACCAAGCGTGCTTTGAGGCATGACCATATGCCCCCCCTACAGGTACCCCCCCCCGATATCTAGGATGCCTAGAGCCCACGTCTTGGCGTTTTCTTCTTCTTAGAGCATCCAGGTTATGTTTATGGCGTTTTCTTCTTCGATATCTAGGATGCCTAGAGCCCACGTCTTGGCTGCCCCTCTCCCAGGAGAGCCCAGAATCGAATCGATCAGTCGAATCGCCGATCGAAATGAATCGGATCGGCGGAAATCGGCTGCCGAATCGGGAAAAGTCGAATCGACCGCAATCGGCAACTTAGTAGGCCTCCATTGGGAAATCGGACCCCGAATCGGAATCCCAAATCGAATCGAATCGGAGTCGGAAGCCGTCGAAATCGAACCAAATCGAATCGGAGGAATCGAAGCGAGCCGTCTGGGAAGCCTCGCGCCCACGTCTTGGCTGCCCCTCTCCCGCAGGCTGTGCCGACAGGCTCTCACCGGTGTACCGGGCCTGTGCCTCCCTGCGTGGCGCACGTCCGGCCAGCACCCTGTGGCACAGTACCTCACAGCCTTGCCATCGCTCGGACGTCCCTTCCTAGGGGAACGAAGAGTGACATACAGTGTGGGCCCGACCACAAACAATCTTCCACAAGAAACCCAACCCTGAGACCCCAGGGCGTCCATGGGTTTTTGGTTTGGGAATGTCACGCCTTCCATCGCAAAAACAATCGAAACCCAAGAAACCCAGGGCACCCTGAAGGCAAGCAGGGTGTTTCTTGGTATGGGTCTCCAATGTAAACAGAAACTCGGACGTCCGCACGGACTTCTCGGATCTGCGCTGGGCCCTCCTGGCGGCGCCTCCGGTGCCGCCCCTGGCGCGCTCCGCGCGCCAGGGACGGGGGTCTAGCGCCGCTGCGAGAAATCCGCGCGGACCTCCTAGTTTTTATGTTTATGTCATTCTTCGTTCCCCTAATTCCCTGCGCATTTTTCGATCTCATGCGTTTGCAGTGGAGGCCCGTCCACAAGATACCCTACACAAGAAACCCAACCCTGAGACATCAGGACGCCTATCGATTTTTGGTGTGGGAACGTCACGCTTTCCATTGCACAACCATCGAACACCAGGAAATCCGCGGCACCCTGGAGGCAAGCAGAGTGTTCTTGGCATGGGCCCCCACTGTAATTCCCTGCGCATTCTTCGATCTCGTGCGCTGATTTTATCCCTCGGTGCTCCAATCTGCGCCTCGACGGCCCGCGCCGTGCGAGTGCAAACGTCCGAGCGATGCCAAGGAGCACGTTGTCATCCATCCCATCGGCATGGCCAAAGCATGCCCGTCACTGAACTCCTACTGCTAGGTCGGGCATGTCCTCCTTCAGGCGGATGTTCAAGGACAAGTGTTTTGAAAAGATCCAACGATACTCAAACATATTCAAACAATAGTCGAAACATCGTCCCCCGACTATTCTTTTAACTATTCTTGAATATTCCTCCTGTAGGGGGACGGGCCCGCCACTGAACTTCTACTGCCAGACTTTGCAGCATGCGCGCCGCTCCCGCGGAAGAGACGCCCACCTAGTATAAATTCATGCGAGTCCGACCGACGTGGGCCCAGGATCAGTCAACATAAAATCGGGAAATCGATCGGATCGGAACGTGCGTCGCATCGGGCTGCATCAGCACGGAATCGAAGTCGAATCGAATCGGCCGCGCCAAGATGCACAACCGCCCCCCGCAAACCTCGGGCCGCATCGCATCCCTGGAAGATCGACATCGAGTGGGATCGAACTGGCCGAAACTGGTATCCAATCGGACCGTTTGGATCGAAGTGCGCCCTGTCTGTAGGATCCTGTCTGTAGGGGGGGAGGAGGAGGAGGAGGAGGAGGAGGAGGAGGAGGAGGAGGAGGAGGAGGAACATAAACCTTCGGAATTGCACCAACTGCGCTGGGCCCCCCTGCCTGGCGCGCGGAGCGCGCCGGGGGCGGCGCCAGAGGCGCAAGGGGGCCCAACGCCGATGCAAGAAATCCGCGGGAACCTCCCACACGGGTGCGCCCTGCGAAATGCTTAAGAAATCATGGGTTAAGAAATTCATAGTCTCAGAACTTGAATAAAAACCCAACATTTCTATTAAAATCTTAGGGTTTTCATCGAAGCATTAAGAATCATCGAGACTCTGGCCGAAAACTTAAGTTTTCTTAAGCATCGCCTAAGGTGTACGCGTGTTTACGCTTGTTTTTCACTTTCGATGGGCCTCCCCTCTGCGATCGCCCACCCATCGGGGAGACGTAAGCCCTCGGGTGCGGGGGTCTCGGGTTGGCCTATGGGGTCATCACAAAAATGACGAGACCCAATCTGAAATTTGACGCGAACTCCCGCTGCAGAGACATCCCACGAACACTGGACCGTCAAAATCAAAGACGCGCCACTCAGAAAACGGTGGCCAACCCGAATCCCGGCATACTCGAGTCAGACGTTTCCCCGAAGCCAGTGGGGCAGGGATGCCCCGGCAGGACCGTCTGCCCCCTCGGAGGAGGAGGAGAGCGGGCAAGCGCGCCATTCTGCTGAACGACGGTAGCACAGCACCGATCCGAAAACGACGCCCGCGCCGCGGCGGGAACACCATTCTGAAGAACCCATCGGATCGTAAAAAAACACGTTGGAAGCATCCGCCGACCCTTCGGCGGCGTGTGGGAGACCCTGTCGTCGTCGTCGCCACCGTCGTCGTCGTCGTCGTCGTCGTCGTCATCGTCGTCGCCATCGTGGTCGTCGTCGGCGTCGCCATCGTCGTCGTCGTCGTCGTCGTCGTCGTCGTCGTCGCCGCCACCGCCGCCGTCGTCAATCGTCGTCGACGCCGTCGTCGTCGTCGTCGTCGTCGTCCTCGTCGTCGTCGTGGGCTTTCGTCGACGGGGGGGGGCGTCGGGCGACGCGCGTGGGGCCGCCTGAGCCCGCCGTGGCAGTGCCGGGGCCGCCGGCGGCCCCGCCGTCGGGCCTCTCCTGCAGCCCGCGGCCCTCGGCCCCCCCGTCGCCTCCGTGCGGCGGCAGCTCGTGGCAGCCTCCCGCACCATCTCGTCGGCTCCTGCGAGCCGACGCTCGTCGACGCGAACTCGACGCAAATTCGACGCTAGATCGACGCCAATCGACGCTGAACGACGCCAAGTCGGCGCCATCTCATCGACTCCAGACGCTCGTCGGCGCGAAAGACGGAACTGAGAGGGAACGCCGGGTTCCCATAATTTGCCACCGAATACTACGGTTAGGTCGGGCGTGTCCTCCTTTAGGCGGATTCTGGACGATTAATGAAAAATAATCAGACAATGCTCAGAAATGGTAACAGAAATGCTGAAACAAATCGTTCCAAGACTTTGTGTTTGACTATTTTTGAATGTTCCTCCTGTAGAGGGACGTGCCCGACTTAACGCTGAAGAACCCAGGACGTCCATTGATTTTTGGTGTGGGAACGTCACGCTTTTCCATTGCCAAACCATCGAAACCAAAGAAACCCAGGGCACCCTGGAGGCAAGCAAGGTGTTCCTTGGCATGGGCCCCCACTGCATACCAAGCTCCCATGATTTGCCACCGAACGCTAAGGGCTTCTCCGATGCCGCCCGCCCGAGCACGGGTCCTCCGCGATCCACTCCGGGTCCCAGCCGCCGACGTGCGTCGCCAGGTTCATGGACAGCGAGTACGTGGAGTAGGGGAAGCGGACCGCGTTCGGGTCAGACAAGACCTTAGACTTGGGTCGGGCATGTCCCCCTACAGGCGGATTTTGGAGGAAACGTAAAAATAGTCAAACAATAATCAAACAATCGTCCCCAGACTTTTTTTCATTACTATTTTTGGACTTGCCTCTTGTGGGAGGACACGCACGACTTAACCTGAGACACTGGTGCAGCTCAGACGGCAATACGGAAGCAAGATGAGGGCGAACTCGGTCGAAGATACATCGGGGACCTCTGAGAGCTGGCGGGTCCGGAAGATTTTTGTTCGAGCGGGCGGATGTCGAACACCACCGAATCTTGTTCTCCTCCTTACTTGGAGCATGGGGGAGTAGCGAGAAAGGACGGAGGTGCTACCACGCGGCCCGCTGCAAAACAGGGCCCTGCCGGAAGGTGCATCCATCGATTCAACGTGGCCTGTGGTGCACGGATGGTCCTCGGGGATCTTCTGACCCGGGTCAATCCAGACCCGAATCAGCAGGAAACCAAAAACTGCAATGCAGGAACAAAAAACTGCACCGCAGGTCTTCGCAAACCCGGGTCAGCCAATACGCGCGGCCGTTTCGCGGCCACGAGCGGCTCCCTGACCCTGGTCAGCCAGAGGAGGCCTTCGCAGGATCCTGCGAGACCTGGCGCTCTGGCTGACCCCCGTTTGCACTGACCCCCGTCTCGAGGCTCCCGAGGTCTTGCGTCTGAGTCTCTGCCGGTATCGAATGCCGCAAAGGCTGCGCCGCCTGGTCCGCGACGGATCCGAGATGATCATCGAAGCGATCCGCTCGTGCGCGACGGTCTGCACAACAGCTCGGCCATGCTTCCCCCGACGAGCAGGCCCGTGGTTCGACGTCGGCCGGCTTGGGATGTGCAAGGGGGCCACAGGTGTTTGGGCCTGCAGGCAGTGGATGCATCAACGGGTGAAGGGGCCCCAGGACACACAAATAGATACACACAAATAACAAGATTCCCCATGGCTTCCCATAGTTTCTAGGTTTTTGTCTTCCCCCCCCCTTCCCATATTTTCCTATATTTTCTGGGGGATCGACGATTCATTGTGTCTGTGTTTTGTTCCCTCCTCAACGGGTGCTTCCTGACCTGGACGACCTCTTCGGAGGGCACAGCGCCCCTGACGGTCAAACCACTTGTAGGTAAAGACGAGCGGTAAGGACGCGATACCCTCGGAGGCCGAACTCGTTTTTCTGTTGGGCGGCGGGCGACCAAAGAAAACGGCAAAGCGCCCTTTACTCTTTTTGGTTCGCGGGTCGAGAGCGCACCTCTTCCGGTCGAAGCTGAGCCACAGCGCCCTTGACAGTCAAAACTTGTAGTAAAGACGAGCGGTGAGGACGCAAGACCCTTTTGAGGCCGAACTTGTGTTTTGCTGGGCGGCGGGCGACCACAGAAAACGGCACAGGACGGGCCGCAGGGGCAAGGACACAGAGGTACCCGAGATGAAGGCGCGTGTCCTTACTAGGCGCGTGGGCTGTACCTCGGAGTGGCCGACACAACGCACCTTCATCTCTGCAGAGCCCGAGTCCTTGCAGAACCAAGGGGCGGACGACACAAGGCGGCAGAAAGGCCGGCCCCCCCCTCCTCTCCGCCCACCCCTTGCCTGCTCAGACCATACAGAGGCCCGCTCGCCATCGCTCGGACATCCATTCCCCGTGCATGTTTCAGTGTCGTGTGTGTTTTGTACGCGAGATGTTCGTTCCTCGATGGTCCTCGCCGAAGAAAAAATGCACACGCCCGAGCGATGCCAATATGAAAGGAGGCCCGCACCGCCGATGCACTGCCCGTGCCGTGTGAAGGAACCAAAACTCGTGCCGTGAAGACGTCGGCGTTGGCCTCTGGCACTGCGCGGATGGCTCCACCTTGAAAGCGATCGCGGCCTCCAGATGTAGGGGTCCGCCCTGGCTCGTCCTGTCGATGCGGACCCAGCCGCCGCGGCGAGGAGCCTCCAGGAGGCCACACAGGGACTCAGAGCGCGCGGGGGCGGGACGCCGCTGCCTCGACGGGCCCCCCGCCGAGCGGGCGAGCTTGCACTCGAGGCAGCCTCGCGGAGCCAGCGATCCGTGCCGCTCGCAGCCGGGGCGGGCCGCCCCGGTCGCCCGCAGCTCGGCCACCTCGGGCGGCGGCGGCTATCTCGGCCATGGCGGTGAACATGGTGCCGACGATCAGGGGCATCGGCTGCCTCGCAAGGGGAGGCTGGAGCGGCAGGCCAGGGAGGGGAGGAGGAGGAGGAGGAGGAGGAGGAGGAGGAGGAGGAGGAGGAGGAGGAGGAAGAGGAGGTGGAGGAGGAGGAGGAGGAGGAGGAGGAGGAGGTGAAGAGGAGGAGGAGGAGGCAACAGGTGCACCACGCCAAATGCGGAATCAAGCGGGCCGGGCCAGATCGCAGCCGGGCGAGGTCGGCCCGGACAGAGCGAACGGGGGGAAAGGCAAGAGCTGGACGGCCTGCTACCTAGGAGGATAGCCTGACCCCTCCCCCTATCCCCTTCCCCTGGACCTTGACGGGGCGCCTCGCGAGGTGTCAGAGGGTCTTCTCTGGCCTCGACGAGAAACCAAACTCCTTGACTTTACGAAGGTCTTGGCCGCATGTTGGCCTCCTGGGCCTAATTTAGTACGGCCCGTCCTTTGATCGATCTAAGATGTCCCCGAGATGGCCACCGAGGCTCCCAATGGCGCCCCAAAACAAACCTGAGAGGTGCCCAGTAGGCCCCCTAAAAGGCTCCCAAGAGACCTCCAACAGACCCCAAAGGCCCATATAGGCACAGAAGAAGCCCTAAGAGGCCTCGGCGAGAAGGCCGAAATCATCAATCTTAATACGATTCGGGCCGCATGTTGGTCTCCTTGGGGGAGGGCGCTAATCCCACCAGCGTGAGTAGTTTAAAGCGTTTCTCTTCCAACCCCGAGTATTTTGTGTTGTTATCTTTGACAAGGACGGCGGAGGTGTTATCATATTACCTGCTGCGCGCAGGGCCACCACCCGTGTCAAAAAACGAGACAGGGTGCAATTCGCCTCTAATCTGGACCATGCGCAGCGCCCCCACGGTCGGTTTGCATTGGTTTGTGACCAGGACGGCGGGAGAGCTGTCATAGTGCCTGTTACGTGCAGGCCCACCAGAGACCATGATGACCACCCCGCAACGATTGCGCACTGATGTTCGACAAAGACGGTGGGTGACGACATGTTTCTCAATGTGTGCTGTCACGTGCGCGGGCGCAACTGGCACACTCTGCGCATGCCCCGAACGTGGCGCACGTGGCGCGGCTGGAGCACGCGGTACACACATGGCGCACATGGAGCACGCGGCGCATCTGACGCGCCAGGCGTGCCTGGGTGCCTGGCGCATCTGGCGCGCGTGGCGCGGGCACGCGTGGCGCACTTCGCCCCAACATCGTGTACATGGGTATACGCTTGGCTCCCAGTCGTGTCCATACAATGACGACCGTTGAACACGCTGAAGCCCGGGTGCTACTTATGTGTTGGGAGAGGGAGGGTGTGAGTGAGCAAGACAGCTTGCGGGCCGGGAGGGTGTCTTGACCCCTCCCTCTACCCCCTCCCCTTGGGTCTGAAGGGGGGTGGCCGCGAGGGGTTTGAACGTCCAGAGCAACCTCGGCCAGAAGGCATCAATCATTGATCTCACTAGTTGTTGGCCACATTTGGGCTTCCTGGGGGGGGGGTAATGTATTACGCCCCTCCTTTGATCGATCTCCTTCAACATGGCCCTAAGATGCACCCCGAAGTTCCCAAGAGTGCCCCACGAGGGCACCAAGAGGCGCCCATAGGCCCCAAGGGGCCCTCAAAGTGCCCCAACAATGCCTCCAACAGGCCCGCAAGAGACCCCCAAGATATCCCAAGAGGCTCGAAGAGGCTCTCCGGAGGCACCCAAGACGTTTCAAGAGGCCCGCGCGACGGCCACGAGGCCCCCATGAGGCCTTAAGAGGCCCACGATGAACTCTCAAGAGACATCCGAAACAACTCTGAGAGACATCCAAGAGGCCTGTGGCCTTTCTGCTCGTCTTCCTCCTCCTCCTTCTCCTCCTCCTCCTCCTCCTCCTCCTCCTCATCTGCCTAATCCTCTTCCCTCCCCCCCCCCTCCCTCCTCCATCCTCCCACTCCCCCTCTTCTTTTCCTCCTCCTCCTCCTCCCTTCTCCTACGGTTCCTCCTCCACCCCCCCTTGAGGTATGACAGATTCCCAAACTTTATGACTCTGCGTGCTCCCCCACATGCCTGATCAGGGTAACTCGCCTGGGCATCGTTTCTAGATGGGCTGGTGGATTTACTTTTTTGGTCTGCGACCGCGCGACAACGGTCTGGCGGCGAGGGGCAATGCGAATTGGCGAACACAACCGCCACGTTGGCAAGCCGGTTCGCACCTGCACAACAAGCGCGCAGTTGCACATGCACTGAACAAAATGCTCTGCATTCACCAGCAGACGCACCTAGGCGCCGCACTGTAAACCAAAGTGAACAAGCGGCCGCGGGCGCGAGTGCAACGGAATGAGTCGCCGGTGCGGCGCCAAACTCCAAGCAGCCAGCCCGGCTAGCTAAGAAACACGAGCCCGGGAAACCGGGCTGCCTGCGGCGGAAAACAAGAGGCATAGCGAGCGCGGAAGGCTGAACCACTGAACGCGCAGCCTTCAGACTCCTCCGCTCACCTGGGGGGGGGCAGCGGCACCAATCGCATCGAGACCGGCGCCTGCGTCGGATAGGCCCGGGGTGAACGCGAGATAAACAGAACAACAAAACAACACAGACCAAAGAGACCATGAAGAGCCCCGGCAATACGTTGTGCCTTGCGACCCAGCCTTTTTGTGCCTCCACGTCGAGGGGAGACCGAACTACAGCAGCCTGCTCGGCGAGACCTGCTGATGTGAACGGCTTCGGCTTTCGCTTCGCGGATGTGCCCATATGCCCACGAGTACACTCTAGCTCGACGTCATCTTTCCAGCCAGGCCTGCATGAGTGAAGGTCGCAGGTATTGAAAATCTCCTACAAGGTCGTTTGAGTCGGTGGCACTATCTAGTTCATTGACCTGCTCAGCGACCATGCAACAATCGACTCACTGGCAGCGCAGGTGTAAGCAGCTAGAGGGCCGTGGCGGGGAGAAATCAGCAAAACGAGGACAAGCACACAGTCAAATCGTCCACCGATTGCGTTGCCTCCGAACCATGACCCATATCGGGCGGCTTCCCCTCCTGTTAATGAAGAAAACAGCCACGGCGAGGAATGCCGGGCCGTGCCCCTGCTGGCTCTGGCAACAATGGAGGCCGCCCCAAAGGGGGCCAAATGAACGGGGTCGGGGGATCGCGCCGCATCGCTGATGCATCGGCGATGCATCGGCAACGCTGGGCTAAGGAACATCAGCTTCCGCATCAAGCCGCAGCCCCGATGCATCGTTTGCTGGTGCGATCCGCCGGTCCCATCTGCCCGGACCCATCTGGTGCGGCCTGGCAAAAATTGGGAGCGCGCAAACATGGAACAGCGATCCATGCATTTGGCGCGCGGTCGCCAAATCCATGGATCAGTGGAACAAAAAGCACCGGTGCCCCCTAGTTCGGCGGCGGATATCCGGGCTTTCCTATGGAAATGGGACCCGTCGCCAATCCACACCCCCTTGATCCATGTTTGCGATCGCCCGACATTGGTGCGGCCTGGCTAACATGAAGGGGCAAGCGGCCTGTGGTAATTCTTCACGTGGAAGATGGGCGACTGCCACAGGGTCCGCTGCGCCGCCCCCGGGGGCGGCGCCAACGACTTTAAGCTCAACTGTGATCAAAATTTGTCCTTCGAGCGATCCCCGCCAAGGAATTTAGTATGTCTACATGTGCACACCGGTCGGAAGAAGTAGGTAAACACATGAAGTAGGAAGGCGGATAAAGTAGATTGGGTTCAGGCCGACCCAGCGAACAGCAAAACACAGCAGAAGCAGTTCGATTCTTGAAGTAGGAAGGGGCTTGAAGTAGATTAGGTTCAAAGTCCAGCGTGTATGTTCTTCCTCCCAGGGAAAGCTGCCACGCTTGTGAGAGGATTACAACTTAAATCGACATATTATTCGCCGAAGTTGTTGCTTGAAATATTTCTATGGATGGAGCTTCTGGAGATGGAGTTTCTGAGGGCCATCGTGGGGCCTGAGCTTCAACAATCCTTCTGAGGATGGAACTTCTGAAAATAGAATTTCTGGACATCGAATTTCAGAGGCAAGATGTTCCGTAAGAGCGCTCCTGAGGCATAAGTAATCGTAGTAGTAGAGGTAGTAGTAGTAGTAGTAGTAGTAGTAGTAGTAGTAGTAGTAGTAGTAGTAGTAGTAGTAGTAGTAGTAGTAGTAGTAGTAGTAGTAGTAGTAGTAGTAGTAGTAGTACTCGTACTAAGACTAGTAAAAGTAGTAGTAATAGTGTAGTAGTAGTAGTAGCAGTAGTAGTAGTAGTAGTAGTAGTAGTAGTAGTAGTAGTCGTAGTAGTAGTAGCCGTAGTAGTAGCCGTAGTAGTAGTAGTAGTAGTAGTAGTAGTAGTAGTAGTAGTAGTAGTAGTAGTAGTAGTAGTAGTAGTAGTAGTAGTAGTAGTAGTAGTAGTAGTAGTAGTAGTAGTAGTAGTAGTAGTATAGTAGTAGTAGTAGTAGTAGTAGTAGTATAAGTAGTAGTAGTAGTAGTAGTAGTAGTAGTAGTAGTAGTCGTAGTGTAGTAGTGGTTGTAGTAGTGGTAGTAATAGTAGTATGCGTAGTAATAGTAGTAGTAATAGTAGTAGTAGTAGTAGTAGTAGTAGTAGTAGTAGTCGTAGTAGTAGTAGTAGTAGTAGTAGTCGTACTAGTAGTAGTAGTAGTAGTAGTAGTAGTCGTCGCAGTCGTAGCCGTAGTAGTCGTAGTAGTAGTAGTCGTAGTAGTAGTAGAAGTAGTAGTAGTAGCAGTAGTAGTAGTAGTAGTAGTAGTAGTAGTAGTAGTAGCAGTAGTAATGGTCGAGATCGTAGTAGTAGTAGTAGTAGTAGTAGTAGTAGTAGTAGTAGTAGTAGTAGTAGTAGTAATAGGAGTAGTAATAATAATAATAATACTAGTAGTAGTAAAAGTAGTAGTAGTCGTCGCCGTAGTCGTAGCCGTAGCCGTAGTAGTAGTAGTAGTAGTAGCAGCAGTGGAAGCAGCAGTAGCAGTAGTAGTAGTACTAGTCGTCCTTGTCGTCGTCGCCGTCGTGATAGAAGTCGCGATCGTCGTCGTGGCTGTTGTCGTCGTGGCTGTTGTCGTCGTGGTTGCGCGGCGGGTGCCGCGGACAAACAAAAATAGATCACCCCTCTTGTTGGTTGGACCCCACTCTTTCAATGAGGTCGCCGAAAATTAGTTAGTTACCCCCTATTGCGAGGGGATTCTAAATATACTTCAGGCGCGTACATATATGAATCCATATGTATATATGTACATGTATATACACATGCCTAGATATATATATATATAGAGAGAGAGAGAGAGAGAGAGAGAGAGAGAGAAAGAAAAAAAGAGAGACACCTAGGTGTACGAATACCTGTATACATCGAAAACTGGTCCTGCTAGATCTTCGTCCCGCTGGGGGCCGCTGGGTCGCGAGCGGGCCCGGAGGGCCCAAGGCGGCCCCTGATGGCTTCCAGAGGGGCCCACGCTGGGCCAAGAGGGGTACAAGACGCCCACGATGGCCACCAGACAATCCCAGAGCCCTCCCATTCGCCCCAAGACACCCCGAGAGGCCTCCCAAGGGAGCCCCAAGAGTCCCAAGAGGCCAAGATCGGCCAATTCCCTTCATAAAGAATACATATTCAGCATCAACAACTCCTCGCCTTCCCGACGCTCCAAGACGGCCCAAGTCGCCCCCCAGATCGCCCCAAGACGGCCCAACAGGCACTCAAGAGGCCCCATTGATGGGCCCAAGAGGGCCCCAAGACGGTCCAATAGGCGCCCAAGCGCCCAAGGGGGCCCCAGAACGGCCCCCGAGAGGCACCAAGGACCCCCACAGAGGCCCCTAAGATGCCACAGCTCCCCAAGAGGCCCAAACAAGGCCCCAAGAAACGCCACAACAGCCCGCAAGAGGAGTCAGAACTGCTTCGGAATTGCACCCTGCAAGCCCTTTGAGCACCCTAGATTAATACGGCGACGATGCATGCATGCATGTGTGTAGCTATGTATGTAGGTATACAATCATGTGTGTATGTGTGTATGTATGCATGTATGCATGCATGCATGTATGTAGGTATGTATGGTTGTATGAATGTGTGTATGCATGTATGTATGTATATATGTATGCGTGCATGTGTGCATGTATGTTTGTATGCATGCATATATGTATGTATGTACGTATGTATGTATGTATGTAGGTATGCATGTATGCATGACGTATGCATGCTCATAATATATATGTATATATATATATATATATGTTTGTTTGTGTACGCATATATGCGTACACGTATGCGTGTACATAACTATACACATATATACTAATTTTAGTAAGAGTAGCAATAATAACAATAATAATAATGATAATACTAATATTAATACAAATAATACTGATCATAATAATAATAATAATAATAACACCAATTCGCGCGCACTTCGCGCGCGCTTGGGTCCTTGCCGCGCCCAAGGACCTCGTATCGCAAATCGCCAAAGAGGAACGCAGGTGTAATTCTGGAGCTCCTTCGGGGGTGGTGGAGGGACCTGCGGCAATGAATTCTTGGGATCCCGGCGACGTGTCGGGGAGTCCTGAGGCTTATTCTACGTTTCTTGCGCTTGTCTGAATCCACCCGAGGGCCGGAGGAGGAGCTGAACAAAGACGAGCGGTGCCCGAGTCTGGCTCCAAAATGCACGCCACAAAAGCCAAACCACAGAACATTGAAGGCCGCCCCCTCCCCTCCACGCATCTGGGACCAAAGCACGGTATAACGAAGGCAAGAAAACATATATTGGCCGCACTGGCAGGGCCTCAAATTCGATGACTTCGGCTTCTCGGGGGAATTACCGAAGAGCTTCCGCGCCACCTCGAGCCGACTTTGGGCCGTCTAGAGAGCCAGCCTCTTGGATGCCTGCTGGAGATGCGGTATCGAGGGCCTTTTGGGGCCTCGAGCCGTCTTGAGGGCATCCTGGGCCATCTCGGAAGTCTCCTGGGGCGGTGTGTAAGTCTCGTTGGCTCTCTTGGGGCCCTCTCGGGGCCGTGCTGAGGCCGTTTTAGGGGCACGGGCATCTGGGATGTTCGTCGTTGGCACTCGGGAGGCCTCTTTGAGACCTCGTGGAGGGCCATATTGTCGCCTCCGTTGGCACTCTTGGGCCTCCATTGGGGCCTCTTGGGGGCCTGCTGGCGGTCTCGTGGGTCCTCTCGGAGCGGAGATCTTCGACCCTCACAGGCCTTCCACGAAGATCCAACCAGCACTTCGTCGTCGTCGTCGTCGTCGTCGTCGTCATCGTCGTCGTCGCCGTCGTGGTCGTGGACGTCATCGTCGTCGTTGTCGCCGACGTCGACGACGTCGTCGTCTCCTTCTCAGCTCCCACAGTATACTCCTCTCCTTCCTCCCCATTCCCCCTCCTCTTCCTCCTTCTCCTCCTCCTCCACCTCCTCGTCCTAGTCCTCCTCCTCCTCCTCCTCCTCTCAACCTTCCTCCTCTTCCTTCTCCTCCTCCCTTCGATCGATATGGTTCAAGCGGCACCACTTCGGTACCACTGGAGGCCCCGCACAACCTTCACAGCGAACCAATGTAGCCCTGACGACAGTGAAATCGGAATCCACCACACCTGGCGACAACCGCTAAACAAAACCAAGAGGTCGGTGGATGTGGCGTAAAACCGATGAACTATGAAAACGAACTGGCAACCATGGACTCTCGCGCATAGCTTCGTACGCACATGCACACACGAAACAAGAAACTACGATTCTCTTCGGGCCAAGCTGGAGAAAGCGACGTTACCATCCCGCAAGGCGCAAGGCCATCATGGATCCACAGGACGTCCACATACATCGGGGGCAGATATAAGGGCATGGCTACACGTTTGTTTTAATGCAATCGTTGTACGGGTTACTTTCTACCACTGTACACCATGGGGCGCACCTCGAGCACGCCAGTGGTGAAACACGCATGGATCCTCAAGCCATTACGACTGCTAGATATCCTAACACGAAAGGCCTCCTAGATGGGGCCCGAGCAGATGGGGTCGGAGGATCGTGCCGCATCGCCAATGCATCGGCGATGCATCGGCGACGGATCGGCGACGTCAGCGTGGAGAAAATCCAGCTCCGCATCGAGCCGCATCGTCGATGGATCGGCGATGCGACGCGATTCTCCGACCCCATCTACTCGGATCCTATCTGGGAGGCCTAGAAACACTCTCTACGAATACGCTTCGGCATGCCATGGCGACAGCCTCTCGAATGATGTGCCGCTTCTCCAGCGGGGTCTCCGCGAAGGAGTTCGCCAAACTGTCGAAATAGCACTGGGGAAGGATTTCGCTACTGATTATTGCCGCCCCGCCCGCCGCAACGACAGAAACCGTGGCTCCAGTTGAGCCCGGCAGACCCTGGGAGGAACGCCCGCCGCTGCCTTCCAGAGAGCTCCATGGGACGCACAAAAACATACTAATACTATATGTCCTCCTGGGAGGCGCGCGTCCGACCCGGACCCATAAACACACACACACACGCCCACACATCTACATATATATATATATATATATGTATATATATAGTATACCCATGTTGTAGCATATCTTTTTCCGAGCGGTGTGGCCAGAAAGCGCACGCAACGATCCATACACTACAAGATTTCTCGGTACCCGCGTCGCCCCTGGGGTTAGGTCGGGCATGTCCTCCTACAGGCACATGCTGGAAATACGCAGAAATTGGCAAACAATCGTCCCCATACTATGTTTTAAAACTATGCTTGAATATTCCTCCTGTAAAGGGACGTGACCGACTTAATCACAAGACAGCTCGCCGCTTGCGCCCCACCGCCAGCCCAAACGGTGAGCATACATCGGGCGTAGTGCTGCACGCATTTGAATGCCTACACTTCGTCCTCGTACTACTCGTATTTCTCCCCTTCCCCCTCCCCCTCCTGATAGTCGTCGTCGTCGTCGTCCTCCTCCTCCTCGTCCTCCTCCTCATCCTCCTTGTCTTCCTCCTGCTCAAACTCCTCGCCGTCCTCGTCTAGGACCTGGTCTCGTGGATACCTGTGCGTTGCATGACCCCCGTATTTTTTTTCTGGGGTCGGCGGCAGAGGCCATCGATTGCGCCCTGGGTTGCGCCATAAGTTGCGCCTTCGGCGGCTGATAACGAAACCGTCTCCGATCGATTGCGCCATAAAGTGCGCCCTCGGAGGCCGAGAATATAACCATCGGTTGCGCCATAGGTTGCGCCCTCGGCGGCTGAGAATGAAACCGTTTCCTATCGGTTGCGCCATAAGTTGCGCTCTCGGCGGCCGAGAATGAAACCGTCTCCTATCGGTTGCGCCATAGGTTGCGCCCTCGGCGGCCGAGAATGGAACCGCCGCGTAACAGGTGGGACCAGTCTGTTTTCAGTTCAGTTCACTTGGATTCAACTTACCTCGTGAGAAACAACTCGCGGGCTACTGCGCCGCGTCGCCGTCACCGCCGTCGCCGTCTCCGTCGCCGTCGCCGTCGCCGTCGTCGCCGTCGTCGTCGCCGCCGTCGTCGTCGCCGCCGTCGTCGCCGTCGCCGTCGTCGTCGCCGTCGCCGTCGCCGTCGTCGTCGTCGTCGTCGTCGTCGTCGTCGTCGTCGTCGTCGCCGTCGCCGTCGTCGTCGCCGTCGCCGTCGCCGTCGTCGTCGTCGTCGTCGTCGTCGTCGGCTCCAACCTCCTCGGGCGGGCCCTCTCCGCCCGCCCGAAGACTCTGCCGGCCGGCGGTCCTCCCGTGCTCTCCCGGCTCTCCTCAGGCGGCGCCCGGGGGGAACCAAAAGTGAAGGGGCCCTGGGACACGCAAATAACAGCACACAAATCACAGGATTCCCCATATTTTCCCATGTGCTCTGGGTTTTCGTCTTCCCCCCCACTTCCCATATTTTCCCATATCTTCCTGGGAGTGGAGGATTATTTGTGTCTGTGTTTTTTCCCCTCCTGACTCAGGCGGGGCCTGGGGGGTACCGAAAGGTACCGCCACCCGCGACCCACCCGCGACCCATTTGCGACCCGCCCGCGACCCACCCGCGACCAACCCACATTGGTTTGACGAGAAATCGCAAACTGCCGACGTCCCTATCGCCCCCTCACTCTTATCCGCATCTGCGGGGTGATACACAGTATTGGACACGGATCGTGCCACCCCAGCACGCGCGCAAAAGCGTTCGAACGATTTCGACATGCGCGCGCGCAAAGCCTGTTTGGTAGCATGTAATGGACATGGTGAACAACTTATGGTTTTCTGGAGAATGCGCAGGAGCGCGCGCGCACGCTTGTTGAAAATCCGTGTTGCGAAACCCTTTTAATTTAAACAAGTAGGACATTCGATGTTGAAGCCCTTCCGAAGCCGAACATTTTTCAAGGCCTTCGGCATGCGAGCGCGACGACGCGCACGTGCGCACTTCGTCCCATCTGCTGCCAAGGGATTATTGGAAACTTATGATGTGTGATAAACGAGTGCGCGCGCATATACTTTTTTCAAGGGAACCGAAAAGGGGACCGATACCGGCCTGGCTGGGATAATATGAATTCACGGGTTTGATGGACGTTGGGTCAGAATCAAATGTGTTTTGCGTAGGTTCCCGGGGAATGGATAAGTCCGGGGGGGGGAGGGTGGTAAAACCTCTCCTTCTTAGAAAAAAGAATCTACGCGGTGCGGCGACTGCGGCGACGGGCGGCACCACCCGCGAAAGCCGCCATTCGCCCCGAAAGGCGGCGACGGCGACGGCGGCGACGGACGGCACCGCCCGCAAAAGCCGTCACTCGCCCCGAGCGGCGGCGACGGCGAAGGCGACGGCGTCGGCGACGGCGACGGCGTCGGCGGCGACGGGCAGCACCGCCAGCAAAAACCGCCATTCACCCCGAGATGGTTGAGCCAAGTAAGAACCCCTAAGTGCAAGCACTGTTTGGGGATTGAAAGCCATCATGCACACAATGATGCCAACTTTTGATCCCCGTGCATCGCATGAGCCAGCCGTGGTTCGTCTTCGAGCCCCTCCGTGCCGAGCGAAGTCACATGCATCTTGTGAGGATGCATAACTGCCTCTTGATGTCGACGGTAGACGGGACTGCATGTCCCAAGACAGCGAAACCCGACGTCCAAGGCGAAGCCGAAGCGAAGGATTCCTATCACATCGGAGGAAGACTGTCAATGCTAGGCTCAAGCTCGATGAAAGACATGTGGTCCTTGTGAAAATCAGAGTCCGCATCAGATACTGTGACTATGACGTTGGCGGGGTCCCCGCCAGTGTCGCTGACATGATTGCACCTCAGTCGATCCACCATGAGGTAAGTCTAGCAACATCCCCAACACATCAAACTGACCAATCGGTGGGGCAGGTCGGAAACCCAACGATCTTGCCTCTCTGAAGGTTGGATCAAAATATTAAGGTGAAAAATGGGACCACGATGTCCGCGCCCAAACAGCTCATTACGGTGTGGGGTGGTCATCTCCACCATCCATTCTGATAATGAAACCAACCAATTCAACCATTACCAGTATCTGGCAAGCAGTATTTTTTTCGAGCTTAAACTTCAGTATCCAATGACATAATTGGAAAAACTGAGCGACACTACTCACTCTCGAAATCCTTTGCATAAAATGTCATCGATCGCCAAACAGTCATTGGGTGAACACACCAATGAATACTCAAGTTATGGAAACCCTGGCCGGCGGTGGCCCAAGGATGCCCCGCCAATGCCCCGCTAGTGCCCCGAGGTGTCCCGTGGAGCGGTGTCCCGTGGTGTCCTATGCTGTGCTCTGCTATGCTAACGCAAGGCGATGCTATGCTATGCTATGTTGTGCTCTGCGATGCTATGTTGTAATGTCCCGTGGCGCGGGGGTGTCCCGTGTTGTCCCGTGGCACGGGGGTGTCCCGTGCCATGCTATGCTATGCCATCGATAGCTAGATCATTAGTGAGATCGACCGTGAGATCGATCGTCAGCTCGACAGTGAGATCGATCGTGAGATACAGTGGGATCGATAGTGAAACCGATAGTGAGATCGATAGTGAAATCTATAATGAGATCGAGAGTGATGTCGATCGAATGAGATCGATTGAGCGAGATCGATCGAGTGAGATGTATTGGTTGAGATCGGTTGAGTACGACCGATTGAGCAAAATTGAATGACTGAGATCGGTTGATCGAGATCGACGTTGAGATCGATAGTGAGGTGGATAGTGAGGTCGATTAAGTGAGGTCGATGGGATGAGATCGATTTGGTGAGATCGATTGGGTGAGATCCATTGAGTGATATCGATTGGGTGAGGTCGATTGGGTGATATCGATTGAATGAGGTCGATTGAGCGAGATCGATATTAAGATCGATTGGGATATCGATCGAGAGACAGATAGTAAGATCGATAATGAGATCGATAGTGCGATCGATACTGGGATCGAATAAGAGATCGATCGTGAGATCGATTGAGTGAGACGTTGGTTCCGTCCCCCCAAAAACCTCCTTATCACCCGAAGGGTTGTCGTATAAGTATGATGCTGGCGCGTGATCATCGCATCACCTGTGCACCTATGGAACCGCACATCGTGACCATCACCGAAAGGGGGAAAGGGAATGGACCCTCCGTCACGGACGTTACGGCTGCAAGACATGAGAAAACAAGCTCCCCCGAAATGCAAACAGTCTTGGAGATTCAATGCAACAACACGAGATCGGCCACTATCTGTGAGACTGGAAGCGGTTGGAGCCGTCCGAAGCCTGCCGGCAGCCACAAATCGCCTTCGACCGCCGTCCAAAGGCGCACATCGAGGCCATACCTACGGCAGGTTCGCGTCGTGTCGACACCGGCGTTGGTTCATGACATCGCGGGGATCGTTAAAACTTGAACGATCGGCCCTTTCAAAAAGGCCGGATCTTCAAGGATGGGCCGATTCTGGGCCACAGGCGGCGTTCAACCTTGAACGCCCGCGCTGGGGTAGCCGCCGGTCGACACGACGCGAACCTGCCGTACTCGACCAAACGTGCACCGATAACCTGGACATGTGCGACAGATCTGCAGAGCCAGCTAGAGCCTGATCGGGCAAGGGCCGACTAGATGCCTGGGGCAGGCGCAGCCACTTGAAGGCCCAAGCCATGTTGCTCGCCTGCGTTGCGGAAACGAACGGGCATGCACAGTGCTTACGATAGTGCCCAAATCATTCAATGGCGCTCCTGCAAAGAATTCCTGGGCGACTCCGGTGGCCGAGCCCTTTCGCAAGTGTCCCGTCCCAAAAGCACCCTGTCTTTGCCTCGTTCACCAATCCATGACACCCGTTCTGCGCCCTTCCGGAAGATGTCGGGGCCTGCACCTGGAAAAGATGAGCAAGGCTAATCTATTTCTCGTCAACCCTCACGCATTACAAGCAACTCCTGTGCGCCTGTGGGGATATCTAGCCTCTGAGCGCTGCCTGCCACCAAAGGCGAGACTAGAAGCCAGAGGCTCTTCATCCTCAAATGGTACACCAGACTGGAAATCAAGGGATGGGGCCGCACATGATTACACATTTCTGACACTAGTAACGCAACATGCCTTTCGATAGTATTCTAAAGTCCAAAGCTTCATGAGGTGCTTGCTTCGCACATGAGGAAACATTATCGAACTTCCCCGGATACATACACACACACACACACACATGTTAGTTTATGTGAGCTTAGCTCTGACGAGATATCAGAAAGAGTCTGGAAGGATCCAAACGATGATCCCGTATTGCTGCTAGTAACCCCGAGCCCTGACAAATGCGTGGACAATCTGGCAAACTTTGCGAAACCACCTTCCCATCACACCGTTTTCATCATCCGACACCTCCTCCCTCACTTTCCTCATCCTCCCCCTCCTTCCTCATCTCCCCTTTTCATCATCCCGCCACCGTTCCTCATCCTCCCCCTCCTCCTCCCTCGCTTCCTTCTCCACGGTCTCCTTCGGAACCCAGAGCCGTGGAAGCCTCTGGGAGCTGTTCGAGCCCGGCCTGGACGACCACGACGGAGAGGACCCGAGGCCACGAGCTCCGGCCGAACAGGCCTAAGTTCTGAGAGGACAGGCGCCAAGGTCGGGAATCTTCTGACCCGGGTCAGTCCAGACCCGGGCCAGCCAAGCCTTGCAGAATCCTGCAAGATTCTGCACCCAAACCCAGGTAAACGCGAAGGATCTGCAAGATCCTGCAAGATCGGCACCCAAACCCGGGTTAGTGTGCCCCTGTCCCTGCAGGATCCTGCAAGATCCGGCGCTCTGGCTGACCCCCGTTTGCACTGACCCCCGTCTCAAGACTCCCAACAAGGGTAGAGCAGGGAGGGTCCGGTGAAAGGAGGGTGACGAAGGTGAATACGCGGAGGGGGGCAGAGAAGGGACTCACGCATCATGTTGCATTAATCGTGCTCGAGGAACCCAGCCCAGAAATAGTTTCGAGCACACGGAAAAATACCGAAACAGTGTCGAACGAGAATCGCCTCCCAGGGCCCGACACGTGAACACCCTCAAATTTCGGAACTTTCTTGGTGCTCGAAATTGTTTCTGGTGGTCAAGGTTAAAGCAGATTAGAACAACGTAACTCAAACATCAAGATGGCTCAAACTTCGTCGATCCAGGTTGGCAATTGCTATGCCTTGTTTTAGGCTCGCGCTCAAGTGCCTCCAGGCGCGCACACTCAAGTGAGATTTGGAAAATCAAACCAAGATTGCCATCGATACTGACATTCATACTCATACGCATTATCTGTTTTTTTATCGAATCGTGCGCATAATCCTCTGCTTCTCATTACCAATATTACCGTGTTGGATTGTGGTGTTGTTGCTTCGATGTGACATTTAATCAAAATGCTTCTTCATTTTCATTGCAACGAACAGCTGGGCACAGCATTCGTACTTCCAACTGTTTTGCTTTCACAAGCGAGGTCTGGTATATAACTGCTCCAAGAGGTGGAGGAACATCGGGGTGAGGAGGGATGGACAGGGACGTGAGGAACGACAACGAGAGGAAGATTGACAAATGGGGGGGACGGGGATGCTCTCGGAATCATGTGGACCCTTGGCTGTATATAGGATCTGCTGCCGCACTCGGTCCACAACCAACTCGACCGCCACGAAGGAACGTAAACTTGGGAAAACGAGGGCAAAACGGAGGCAAAGCAAATCACCTCAATAGACCGGGTCGGGCCATACCGCATCGAATATGCCCCCTGGCTTAGCATGACATTGTATTATCATTGCAACCTGGTGCCGCTGACCCCCTCAACGAATGGTCTCGGCAAAATTCGTGCTGATGCTGACACAGGCCGGTGCTGTTGCATTGAAGGTTCACTATCATCACGGGCCAACTGGTCCCGTCGAAACTAAACGTTCCCTGCTGGCCAATGCACCCGCCTTCCCAGCCGGGTCGTTGGGCAAGTCGGGCGGGTGCAAAGTCATGGCCTCAGTGAGACAAGACGTGGTGCAAAATTACCCTTGCAATCGGTACGTGCTGCGGGCGATGAGGGCAGTACGACAAACGGTCATCATTGAGAAAGGCAACGTCAACATGCTTCTCTTCAACTTTAGCTGTGCGAGCGAAACAGAAACACAAGCACTGAAGCACCTCATGTTTGGCAACACCGGGACTAGCCACACGCACCTGAGGTACGCTTAACGATTGCATGATGTTGCGGCAACGGCTGGAAGGTCCGAGACGAGTTGGCATTGAGGGTGCAAACGCTAGTGCTAAGATAGCGGCGATATTTGCATGTCTACGCTGCTGGCTTCAAATGCGAATTTCCAACACAATCAGAATACTCGCGCGATCCCCGATTGAAAGATGCCAGCCTCAAGTAATACGTTTAGAAGGCGCACGCTGTGAGGGTGCTCCTGGCGGGAAACCGAAGCTTCGCGTTTCGTATCGTGCGCGACGTGCGTGCGATAATCTGCGGGAGTGCCGATCGACACTGGGGATGGTACTGTGACATATGCCAGAAGGGGAATGGTTTTGCTGCTGGAATGAATTACATCTGCGATGACTGCTCTCCTGCAGCTCAGAAGACTTGCCCGTGGAAGATAGCGAGGAGAGCGGATGAGAGCCAAGGGCGCGCGGTCTACGCTGCTGTGGGCAGGTCGGGGAACAACCTCCTTGGACGACACTCAGGTGAGATCACCCGTCTCGCGCGGTCGCCGAAAGTTCATAGAGGTCATGAGCGTAGAAGGAGACGCGGGCGAGAGGAGCATGAACACATCAGACTTTGACCGACAAAGTCACATTCGGCGGCCAGACAAGGAGGGAACCTGATAAAAAGCGGGCCTTATCAGAAGGCTCGGAAGTCCCCCGGCCTTCTGAGACGTCTTCTGAGCTCTCCCCGAAGACGAAGCACACTTCTCAAAAGGCGCGGGGGGTTCTAAGAAGCCCCACCGCCTCTTGAGACTGTCTTACCCTTCTCACGTCCCCCCTTCGCTGGCCGCCGGACATCAGACTTTGACCAAACACACTCACGCGCAGACGCCAGAACGATGCGGCCGGATCGCGGCGGGCTGTGCGCGGGCCGCGGGGAGCACAGTGGGAGGCTGCGGAGAGGGCACGCACCACAACAAGAGAACCCAGCCCGGCGCAAGCACCGATGTCTTTCAATCAGCGGGCGAAGGACGGTACAGTGGAGGCCAGTCCACAAGAAACCTTCCATAAGAAACCCAACCCTGAGACCCTAGGACGTCCATTGACTTTTGGTGTGGGAGCGTCAATCTTTCCATCGCAAAACCATCGAAACACAAGCAACCCAGGGCAACGACATTGGGCGGAAGGGGGGGGTCTGGCTCTGGCCTCTGCTTGATGTGAATGCTTGCAACACTGCGTCCTATGGGGGAGACTCCACCTGCTCGAAACAGGCACCAGGAGCAGCCAAGATCTACTCCAGGGTGGGGGGTGCTGGTGCGAGGGCCCCTGCCGATCAGCAAAACAAGAAATAAGACAATGATGCCATACCATACCCATCTCTGTTTGAGGGTTGCAGCGCGGCGGGACTCGGGAGCGGCCAAGAGGGGGTGTCCAAGAGGGGGGGTGCAAATCATGACCGGCGGCATGTGCGCGGCCCAGCGGGGGGGCCAGGGACGCAATGAAATAAGAAGAGGCGCCATGGAATCTGGGGAAGAATCATGGCCAGCGCCATGAAATCCACCCCCCCCAGGCATCACCCCCTCTTTTCCGCCCCCGAATTAAGGCAACGATGACATACCCCTCTCTGTTTGAGGGTTGCAGCGCAGCGGGACTTGGCGCGGTCAGGGCCACGGCGCGCTGCGCAGCAGCTGATTGCGCATGCGTATGCACATGGCTCGGGTGGAGAGGCAGCCACGGAGAGAAGAACGGGAGAAGGAAGAGGAATCACTCGGCGGCGAGCGAGGGTCGGGGGTTGCCAAAGGTGCCCCTGGCTCAAGGTGCCCCCAGCTTTTCGCTCCATTTTGGAGCTCCTGGGGCCCCCCTGGACCTCGTGAGGGGTGCTCTGCAGGCCGTAGTGGCCTCCTTGAAAATCCTGGGGACACCTCGGGCCAGGGGCACCTCTAGCAACACCCGAGAGGGGGGGAAGTGAGAAGAAGATGGCCTTGTCAGAAGGCGGCCGGGCTTCTTAGAAGCCCTCGCGCCTTCTGAACATTCTTCTGTATTCGGGGAAAACTTAGACAGCTTTTCAGAAGGCCGGGGGGCTTCCGAACCTTGTGACAAAACCTGCCCTTCTGACTTCCCCCCCGGGCTCGCCGCCGAAGTCAGAAGATGTACACCTTCATGAGCGTTGCTTCCGGCGTCAGGCTCCCGGCAGGAGTCGGCGAGATGCCCAAACTGTTTCTGGTCAGCGTCGGTGATCACGATCGCACCGCGGTCCGAGATGTGCTAAGCACGCGCGCAGACCACAGCTTAACATAGCGGCGACCCGCCGTCGGCGCCAGCACTTCTGAAATCGGTGCACCTCTGTGCCCGGACCGATGTCGCGTCGGGCAGGGGGCGCGGGGAAGACGAGCGCGGCTTGTGAGTGCGCCGCGGTCGCCGCGCGGGGCGCACAACGTGTTCACTTCAAACCTATGACAAGAACAAAACAGAAAGGGGTGACCTGATGTACCGCCCGAATTCCCGGCAGATCCGGGCAGTGAAGAAGGGGTCTGGTTTTAAATGCAGCCCCATTGCGAGACATGTGAGGACCCCTCCCCAACTCCGCTGCCCAGGAAGCATAAATAATAGATTGCCAAAATTTACCTTCCACACGCCCAGCAGAAGCGGGTTCGTCGTGGGCGTCCGCGGGCTCGGGTCGGAAGCGCAGGCGGCGAGCGCCACTCGACGGGCAAGGTCGCGAACGCGGGGTGCGGTCGTGGATGCAGTCGGACCTTGGACAGAAGAACATTCCTCAAGAACAGGACTCTCCGCCGGCCAAATAAAAGAGCATTCGAGGTTACCCTCCCCCAGAACGCACAACATCCAACAAACACGAAGAACGTCAGGGTGCCCTCCACAACCCAACCTCGACCCGATAGCAGGGGATATGTCGACCCCTATACCTGGTTTTGGGAGATTTTTGAATGGACCTAAACTTTGGGGCCCAACCCTGGTATACACGATGGGGGGCGCCCATCCTCGATATGGGGGTGCGTCCGAATAGCCCCCTGGGGGTGTATCCCAGGGCTCCCCGCCTATTCTGAGCGGCCTCATTGTCAATTGTGGCGGCGCGCGCAGGGGGGTAGCGGGATGGCGGAAGGCTTCTGAGGAGGAGCCTGCTTCTTAGAAGGCGCCGGCCTTACATCTACAGACAAGGCCCCGCGTCTTCTGAGAAGCAGGGGCGCTTCTTAAGAAGCCTTCCCCCCTCCCCCTACCCCCCTCTGCGCGTGGCGGATCACATCTCGTCGAAAAGTCAGGGGGCTGGGGGAGAAAAGTCGCCTGCGACTTCATGCCTCGGCCCGGGCTGTAGTTGGCGGGCGGTTGGGAGGGCAGGGCGGGCCGGGTCTCTGTTCGCCCTCGCCCCCCCGCAGGTTGCAATGGTCCCGCCTCGAACCGCTGCCCTGTGATAGGTCCTTCTAGACTCCTCTGAATGCTAATCTCCTCGGTCTCCTGATTGACGTTGTGGATGTGCAGTGCAATGGGGAAGTGCGTCGCTGGACACACGATGACCTGGCACAGGAGCTTGTTTGTCAGCGGGCCAGTTCGCTGTGCTGCGGCTCAGACCGCGAGTCAGTCATCTAGCAGCCTCTCGCTGCTATACGGAAAAATTAAGCCAAAACGGTTTCGAAGGAAACGTCTTGGGAAACGTGTGGAACACATAAAAAGCCTCTCGGGCTTGGGGCTCTCTAGGGCACCTTGGGGAGACCATTAAGCATGGCTAGGCTACAAACAGGGATGTAAAAAGGAAACTGCTACGCCAGGGAACGCGGCCTTACGTAATATGGACAATATGGACAGTATGTACTGGGTTCCTTAGAACCTTGTCTTAAACTCAGGCCTCGATGGGCCATCTGTCGAAAGTAGGCACAGGGAGGTAGGCTCTGGGTTTGCGAATTGCATGCCTCAACATTAAAACTCGATGTTACGGCATCGAAGCCTGGCCTTACCTCCTGAATTCACAGAAAGCACAGAGCGCGTGGCAGGGCTCACCCGGCCCCAGAGGGCCTCTCTCATGTCCAGCAAGTTCAGCCTGCTGGGACTCGTCGTCACGTGAGAAGTACACCATGGCTTCCAGGGCGGTGTCGGGATCCAGCGGGCTGCCGTGATCCAACGTGTCGATGCCCTCGGACTTGCGCTTGCGGGCTGACCGGCCGGTGGAGAGGATCATCCACTAGCCGCCAGCGGTGTCCACTTCTGAAGAAATCCAGCAGGACCTTGGCCGCGCGGTCCTTCGTGAGACCGTCGGCTAGCATGGCGCCGCTGTGCACCCAGCGAATCTGGAGCCCTGTCTGCTGCGTCTGCTGCCTGATGCCCAGGCATTCGATACTGGTCCTCTTATCTCGAAGACCCAGTCCAGCATACTCACTCTGCTCCGTGGCGTCGTACCCGGACTTCCCGTCTGTGACCAGGACTCCTGGCCAGATTGAAATGGCGTCGTTCACGGCCTGCTTGTTGGTATAGTCCACGTGGCCGCACTCGAGCTCGTAGAGGAACAGTCGCGCGCAGCTGATCTCGTCGAGCGTCCCGTCATCACTTGCACCTCGGCACTCGCGCTGCTTCTGGCAACGCGTGGCAACTTGCATGATCCCCAAAAAGGATAGGCACCGCGGTCTCTGCGGATTCGTCTTGAAACGCTAACGGTGCCAACGCGATCATCTCGCCTCCATGGGATTCCCCTGTGATCCAGGCTGCCCATGCGGCGTCGCCCCAGCCAGCAACTGCCAGCTTCTCGATCGCATGCGTAACCATGATGACGTCAGCGGTGTCGTTTGTGGTGCGGATGAGCTCGTTGATCTTCTGAATCGTGGAGACCGTC